TATAGCTTCTTCAGAAAATGATTTATTTGATAGAATAGTACATTACCACTCAGTAATTCAACTTTTTGCTTTACTTAAGCGTTTTCAAAAAGTCATTGATTTTCAACCAATTTCTCCAATAGAATTTTTTCCAGTGACTACCTAAGTAAAAGCGAGGCTGCGATAACTCATTAAGTGGCTCAACCTCTTGAGTGACCAATCAAAAACCATTCTCTCTCCAATACCTTTGTCACTGGGCCCTGGAATGTCTTCACTCGCCACCTCCTCCTCAGGTTTGCTAGCTGTATCAAAGCAAAGTTATAAATTAGAATAAAGTATGAATGCCTTCAAGGTAATGTTTTGGATTTATGTCATATATTATATGGACTCTTACTGTCACGAGTAGACTAAAACAACTTCTGTCAAATAAATTTGTGAAACCGTCTACATAGTAAACTCATTGCCCGCTTTTAGACAAGTAAACTGGCTCAATTAACCATCTGTCAAGCTTATTAAAAACAGCATTGTAAGCAGGAGTAAATACAACATATGTTAAACAATTCGGAGTTCAAAAGATAAATTCATTGCTTTTTACCTTTGCTAGTGGGCTTTCCGGGCGCAAGCTTACTTTTTCCCTCTTGCACTGCACAAACAGGTTTTAAAAAGATTGCATTAATAAAACCATATAAATTTGATTATTTGCATTCCACGAAACTATCGAGAATTCTGGGTGGGGCACCAGGGACAGCACTCGACCCCAATTTCGAAGTAGTGTTTGAACAGTCAGCTATGAACTACCATCACTTCTTAATATCTTTGTTGAAGGGCCTTTAATCTCAGTTATCACTATTTTCTCCGTTACCTCCGGTCCTGGATTAGTGCAATGAGTGCATACCCTTGACCTACATGCAACTGCCTGGTATTTTTTTTAAAGCAGTAATAATAATAATAATAATAATACTAATAATAATAATAATAATAATGATGATAATGACTAAAGATCAAGCTAGTACTCGCTTTCCCTTATAATTTTTTAACAACCTTGAAATTCGTGTCTCTTTATCGTACTTGAATCAAAGTTCTATCGTTAAAACGCCCAATAATCGCGATATAATTTGAACCTTCTATCAGCTGCTACAGTTACAACTACTGTCCGTCATAAGAAAGGTTTCTACAAGCACGTACCCTATCCTTCAGTCACCTAAATCTTTTTCTGTAGATCCATTATGATATCTAACTCAATGTTAATTAGCACTTTCATAGAACTATGTAATTTTCAACATTAGAACCTTGTATCGGTGTGTAGACACATAATTACCTCCTTTTCGTCTTTTTCGTCGGTATTGGCTTTCTCCACGATGAACGGTTGCTGCAGCAATATCAAGTGCGCACTTTATTTGACTAAACTGATAGTTGTTTGC